CAAATCAAAATTCCACATGAATTAGGATTGTAATAACATGATTTGAAGAACAAGCCAGCATAACATTGAACATAGTTAACATCTATGCTTAAATAGGAAATGCTACTCAAAGCAGGTTCCTAATTTCTAACAGGGAGTCTGTCTCACACTACTCCCAAATGATATGGCAAAGATCTTCATAGTTGCCATTCACAAGCATTGACACTTTTAAGATATTTACTAAAAATTGTTCTAAAAGAGGGAGGAGAGATGACAATATATTTGTCCTATCCACTAAAGCAAAATACAAACATGCTTTTGTTAATCTACAAAGCAAGCATGCAAATACAAAATTCTTGTTCAGATTAGCATACAAAATATTTTTCCATGTCCCCAAAAGCAATAGTTGCTTTAGAACATCATTTTTCAAAGTATGCTTCTTCGAAATATAACAACTAACATTCTGAAACAATACCTGGCTTAGATTTCAAAATAGGTCTTTTAAACAGATTGACGGTACCAAGGTCCCCTATATCTGGTGCTTGCTTCTGAATAGATACCTAAATGTTAAAAAAAAAAAAAAAAAGTGTTGAGTTTTGTTATTCTTTTCTAAGCATATTAACCAAATAAAATGCATGAACAAATAACCCTGACAAACCTTAATATAGGCAGAACCTTCCAAATCACTTGGAATCTGAACATCTAGAGGGCAGTAATCATCAGGAATCTTTTTATCCAGATCAATGTCTGTGTTTTTTATGACCTCAAACGTGCCATGATGAGGAAAGAGAGACCCTTTATAAATGAGAGAAGTTATAACAGTCCTTTAAATTTTACATTACATAGATCTGAAATATCCAATACATATTTGCATCTCTCCCTGTGTGCATATGGGCATAATTTTTAAAGCATCAAATACCGCTTCAAGGAAACTTGTCTTGGATTTGAGTGAATCCATATAATCTCTAAAGGGATAAGGAATTACTAATCAGGCAAAAATATAATCAGAGCAAAACATATTGGTTTCCACTTTTTTCAGCAGTTATATTAAGATGAAAGCTGGACTTTTTAAAAAAATATTAATTTCTCTGCATGCATGCACACACCCACGTATCTCCACCAACAGGTACATTTAACCTATGTTATGTATATATAAACATCAGCACTGTAAGCAACAGTACAGAAATCATGCCCTAAACTGAGAGCTGGCTTCACCTGCACTTTTGTAGCTCAAATCTCCAAGGATTTTATCTCCCACTTTCCTCAGCTTCCAGTGCTGTCTTAGCCTGAGCAATTCTGAGTTGAAATCTCTTTGCCGCTTATTTTCTTGGTTTTCAGCCACTGATTTAGACAACCTTTCTGCTCCTTTCAGAAGAATCTGGGCTGCTCCAGCCAAGGACTTTTTCTTGGAGATCAGCTGCAAAACCTGAGGATTCTAGAAATGAAGAAGGAGCTCAGAACTGAAATCAATTTAAATGCAATCTTCTCTGCCAGTAATAGACTGAAAGGATATTTCTACATTTGCTCCTGTCATTAATGGGAATGGCTGAAGCAATATGACATTATTTGTTTAATGCAGAAATATGAAACCAGGTGCTTCCAGATGTTTCTGACTCATCAAATGCAACCAGCATGGCTAACGGCAAGAGACTGTGGGATTTATAGTCCCCAAACACCCAGAAGGCAAAGTTACCTAGCTCTGATTCAGGATTTATCTGGAGTAAGGATCCTCGCTTGTTAATACCATGATTATTATTATTACTACTACTATTTAAATTTATATGCTGCCCGACTCCCAATGACTTTGGGTGGTTACAGATAAAAAACGATAAAAACCAGAAAAAACAACAATAAACATGAAGAATGAATATGGGAAGAGTGACAAAAAACTGGATGGGAACCAAAGAAATAAATCCACATAGTCCAAAGAGGGGGGCTTCACCCACCCTTCCCAAAGCCCTGGGTGAAATCTCTACAAGCCAAGATTTATAAACTTGGAACAAACATTTGAATAGGATAAAGAAAAATTATGCCTAGTACCTGCTTTTGAGAAAGCGGTTCTTGTACAACTGGATCCAGAGTCATAAACTTTTTATCTTTGACTATGCTGAGGACATCGTAAAGCACACACATCTCTGTCAAAGCACTCCTTAAGTTATTCCTCACTGAATCCCAAGGCCAGAGAGAAGGCTGAAATTTTATCAGGCCTGAAAAACATAAACACAAGAGAAAAACAAGACTAAACTATTACTGGAATTTCTAAAAGCAGCATTCCTTTCTTAAATCAATACTACTATAACTCTGTAATATGAAGAGCTCTGGAATTGCATCCCTTATTTCCTTTTCAAATGCACAAGCTTCTCAAAGGCAAAGGGAATTAAAAAAACAATCAAACAGCAGACCCAAAGAGAGTTCCTTAAAAAGAAAGATTGTCCTTTCCTTTTTTAAAAAAATGTGGGTTTTTTTGGACATACACTGAAAGAAAAGAGAAGGGGAGGATGACCAGCAGCAATGGATGGACTCAGTTACAGGGGCGATGGGGGTGCCGTTGGAAGAGCTGAAGGACCAGGTTAGGGACAGATCATCATGGAGAAAATCTATGTGGCTACTAAGAGTCGACACTGACTTGGCTGCCCACAATCAATCAATCAAGGACATACACATAGATCACACATGAGAACAATGGAGCTCAATAATCCTGGATCATACCAAAGTGGAATGCACAGAAAGACACAACAACGCCCCAGAATGGGTTTGTACTGTGCCTTCCTGCACAATGGAGGGAATTGTGCGGAATGATCTTTTTGATCCCTTCCAGCTTCATTTGATACTGCCTTGGGGGCAGCTCTGAAAGGCAGCATACGCCACCCATCTTCAGGTCAGGATTAAAGTAACTCTACTTAAACCTACCTAAAAAGTTTTGTTTTAGTCGTGGGTAAAATGTAGTGTTTTTTGTGGTTCCACCCCCCGCCCCAAGATGATGGTGGTACTTTATGCTGTAAAGGTTTCCTTTTGCATTTTATTCAGTTTTCAGTTTGTCAAGCCATCTGGGAGCTGGGTGGCTTAAAAATCTGGTCATTAAATGAAGGAAGGCTACTCCTAAGCAAAATCACGGGACATCTGCCTTCAAGCCGAGATGACTAGGTGAGCCTTCATTGCCTTCATGCAATGTCCTTGGCAGAGTTATGCAGGTTTCTTCAACTTCCCAGCGCCGAGATCTCCTGGTGGTCTCCCATCCAAGCGCTGATCAAGTTCGACCCTGCTTAGCTTCTCTGCCGAGGAGCCTCCTTCCATTCCCCTCGAGAAGGCTCTCTGTTTCTCCCCACTCCCCTCACCTTCCTCCTCCTCCTCCTCGTCCCCGCCGGGCCATTCGCGACTCTCGCCGGCCGGAGCGGGCTCGTCCTCTTCAGAACCGGAGCTGCCTTGGCTGAAATCGATGCGCTGCGCCAGGCGGGCCAGGTTCTGCGACATGGAGAGCGGCTGCAGATACGTCTCACTCCCGTCGAGGCCCACCTCCTGCACATGCTTCTCGCAGGCCGATTCGATGCTGATCCGCACCGCCTGAAGCCCCGACATCTTGCTCCCTCGGCGGCTCCGCAGCTCCCTGGACGGAGCATGCGCGGAAGAAACTACGGGGCCCGCAGGGGGACAAACGGAAAACCGCGATCGGAAGGGAGAGCACCGGCGCTCCCTAGCGTCCATCAGGAGAAAGCGGTGCCTTCGGGTCTTTTCGGAGGAGCTCGGAGTTCTGCAAGGGCGGGGAGGAGGCGGACCCGAGTGTATGCGTATTGCCGGATGGCACGGGTTAATATAGTCCAATCCTAAACCTATTCGCAAATAAGAGCGCTGAATTAAGCTATCTGCAACCATTGCCTTTTGAACTCAATGGGAATTACTAGTGGGTAGTAGGTGCACATCAGATTGCAGAGTTACTACCCATCTAGAAATTCCCCTGCTAGGATCAGCCCAGCTGTGACATATGCAACAGAGCAGTGTTTCTCCAACTTGGCCACTTTTAAGACGTGTGGACTTCAACTCCCAGAATTCCCCAACCAGCAATGCTGGTTGGGGAATTC